TATCCGCCTCCCCGGCTTTCTCCATGTTGCCTGTGCCAGTCGGGCGAGCGCGTCTCGCTTCCCCACCTCTCTCCATGATACCGTTGCAGAGCAGGCGAGCGGTAGTCGCCTCCGCGTCCTCATCACGAGGGTAACGAGGACCTGGAGAGCGCAGATCCCCCCCGCTTCTCCAGTTGTGATACCTCCGCGGATCTGGTGAGCGCACACTTCCCCCGCGTCCACTGTCCTGGTGCCGCCGTGGCTCTGGCGAGCGGTAGCCGCCTCTGCGCCTTTCTTCCTGCAGCTGCTGCCGTCCTGGCGAGCGGTAGCCGCTTCCGTGCTTCCCGTCCTCGTGCGGGAGACGTGGATCTGGCGAGCGCGCGCCGCCACCGCGTTCCCCGTCACGATTCTGCCGCCGATCTGGCGAGCGCGTACCGCCGCCACGCCCCCCCTCCCGATACATCCGTGGATCTGGCGAGCGCGTGCCTCCGTCGCGTCCCCCATCACGATTCAGCCGAGGCTCTGGCGAGCGCGCACCGCCGCCGCGTCCTCCGTCCCGATTCAGGCGCGGATCAGGCGAACGCGCGCCGCCGCCACGTCCCTCGTCACGCTGCTGACGCGGATCTGGAGAGCGCGCGCCACTGCCACGCCCCCCGCCGTCACCTTTCTCTCCGTCGCGCGGCAGGTCTCGAGTACCGCCCTTTCCTTCCGCCTCCGCCGTGCTCGGCTCCGCCGCCACGCCCGCCTGCGCGGGATCGTCGTCATCAACTCCAGCGGGCATCTCGCGCTGCTCGCCTGCGCCTTCCTCCTGGGGTTCGTCATCGCCCTTGGTCTCGCCTTCACGATTCGTCTCCCGCACTCGATTCGCCGAGTCGGCCTCGTCTTCTCCATCCACATCAAGATCGCCTTGGCGACCCGAGAAGAGCTCCTCCAGACCTCGCCCGCGACTTCTCTCTTCGCGACGGCGATAGCCTTCCTCCGGCAAGCGGTATGCTCCCGTGTCCTGGCGGTACCCACGACCGCCATCCGCTCCGTGACGCCCGTCCGTCCGCCACGGGTCACTCCCCGTCGTGACGGATCCAGATCCGTCTCTTCCTTCTCGGGCGGATCCTCCCTCCTGGCGATCTGGCGCGAGAGGGACCTGATCCGCGCGAAAGGCCGGCCTCCGCGGCGATCGCTCAGGCCGCCGCGGCGACCTCTCCAGCGAGCGCCCGCGCTCACGTGAGCGTTCGCGCCGCGAGCGATCCGCCTCACGGCGACCATAATTCCTGCCCTAACGCATCTCGTACACATCCATGCTTGTACGCGCACCTTTCTGTTTGTTATGAGAGTGACAGAACTCTCACCTCAAAGGTCCTCCCTGAGTGGTGTGCCACCTGCCTGCTCTGGTAAGGTAACAACAGTCCACTATACGAAAGGATAACAAACAGAAAGCATCAGAGGTGTGTGTGAGAGTGAACTTACCTGACCCTGGCTCGAACCGTGCATTTCTCAATGTGCGGCTCGAGCCTGGGTTGGTTCGTTCTCATTGGTTGCAAGGATTTCACCCAAGGTGCTCTCCTACCAACTTCGCGTCAATTTCCCAGCTCCCACCTACCTATCCTCGAATTTGCAAGCACAACATAGCTACACCTCCACTACACCACCATGATAATGGCACCTTATATGCACAACCGTGCATATTCGGTGACACCTATCCCCTCACCTTCATCCCTTCACCGCCTCTCTCTCGCTGGTCTCCCCGTCTTTTCCATACTGGTGTGGGAAATCTCTCCCCCTACTCTTATTTCAACACTGTGACTGACCCACAATCCCCCCATGCTTGCTTCCTATCCCCTCACCTTCATCCCTTCACCGCCTCTCTCTCGCTGGTCTCCCCGTCTTTTCCATACTGGTGTGGGAAATCTCTCCCCCTACTCTTATTTCAACACTGTGACTGACCCACAATCCCCCCATGCTTGCTTCCTATCCCCTCACCTTCATCCCTTCACCGCCTCTCTCTCGCTGGTCTCCCCGTCTTTTCCATACTGGTGTGGGAAATCTCTCCCCCTACTCTTATTTCAACACTGTGACTGACCCACAATCCCCCCATGCTTGCTTCCTATCCCCTCACCTTCATCCCTTCACCACCTCTCTCTCGCTGGTCTCCCCGTCTTTTCCATACTGGTGTGGGAAATCTCTCCCCCTACTCTTATTTCAACACTGTGACTGACCCACAATCCCCCCATGCTTGCTTCCTATCCCCTCACCTTCATCCCTTCACCGCCTCTCTCTCGCTGGTCTCCCCGTCTTTTCCATACTGGTGTGGGAAATCTCTCCCCCTACTCTTATTTCAACACTGTGACTGACCCACAATCCCCCCATGCTTGCTTCCTATCCCCTCACCTTCATCCCTTCACCACCTCTCTCTCGCTGGTCTCCCCGTCTTTTCCATACTGGTGTGGGAAATCTCTCCCCCTACTCTTATTTCAACACTGTGACTGACCCACAATCCCCCCATGCTTGCTTCCTATCCCCTCACCTTCATCCCTTCACCGCCTCTCTCTCGCTGGTCTCCCCGTCTTTTCCATACTGGTGTGGGAAATCTCTCCCCCTACTCTTATTTCAACACTGTGACTGACCCACAATCCCCCCATGCTTGCTTCCTATCCCCTCACCTTCATCCCTTCACCGCCTCTCTCTCGCTGGTCTCCCCGTCTTTTCCATACTGGTGTGGGAAATCTCTCCCCCTACTCTTATTTCAACACTGTGACTGACCCACAATCCCCCCATGCTTGCTTCCTATCCCCTCACCTTCATCCCTTCACCGCCTCTCTCTCGCTGGTCTCCCCGTCTTTTCCATACTGGTGTGGGAAATCTCTCCCCCTACTCTTATTTCAATACTGTGACTGACCCACAATCCCCCCATGCTTGCTTCCTATCCCCTCACCTTCATCCCTTCACCGCCTCTCTCTCGCTGGTCTCCCCGTCTTTTCCATACTGGTGTGGGAAATCTCTCCCCCTACTCTTATTTCAACACTGTGACTGACCCACAATCCCCCCATGCTTGCTTCCTATCCCCTCACCTTCATCCCTTCACCGCCTCTCTCTCGCTGGTCTCCCCGTCTTTTCCATACTGGTGTGGGAAATCTCTCCCCCTACTCTTATTTCAACACTGTGACTGACCCACAATCCCCCCATGCTTGCTTCCTATCCCCTCACCTTCATCCCTTCACCGCCTCTCTCTCGCTGGTCTCCCCGTCTTTTCCATACTGGTGTGGGAAATCTCTCCCCCTACTCTTATTTCAACACTGTGACTGACCCACAATCCCCCCATGCTTGCTTCCTATCCCCTCAACTTCATCCCTTCACCGCCTCTCTCTCGCTGGTCTCCCCGTCTTTTCCATACTGGTGTGGGAAATCTCTCCCCCTACTCTTATTTCAACACTGTGACTGACCCACAATCCCCCCATGCTTGCTTCCTATCCCCTCACCTTCATCCCTTCACCGCCTCTCTCTCGCTGGTCTCCCCGTCTTTTCCATACTGGTGTGGGAAATCTCTCCCCCTACTCTTATTTCAACACTGTGACTGACCCACAATCCCCCCATGCTTGCTTCCTATCCCCTCACCTTCATCCCTTCACCGCCTCTCTCTCGCTGGTCTCCCCGTCTTTTCCATACTGGTGTGGGAAATCTCTCCCCCTACTCTTATTTCAACACTGTGACTGACCCACAATCCCCCCATGCTTGCTTCCTATCCCCTCACCTTCATCCCTTCACCGCCTCTCTCTCGCTGGTCTCCCCGTCTTTTCCATACTGGTGTGGGAAATCTCTCCCCCTACTCTTATTTCAACACTGTGACTGACCCACAATCCCCCCATGCTTGCTTCCTATCCCCTCACCTTCATCCCTTCACCCCCCCTCTCTCGCTGGTCTCCCCGTCTTTTCCAGACTGGCGATGGAAATCTTTCCCCCTACTCCTATTTCAACGCTGTGACTGACCCACAATCCCCCCATGCTTGCTTCCTATCCCCTCACCTTCATCCCTTCACCGCCTCTCTCTCGCTGGTCTCCCCGTCTTTTCCATACTGGTGTGGGAAATCTCTCCCCCTACTCTTATTTCAACACTGTGACTGACCCACAATCCCCCCATGCTTGCTTCCTATCCCCTCACCTTCATCCCTTCACCGCCTCTCTCTCGCTGGTCTCCCCGTCGTTTCCATACTGGTGTGGGAAATCTTTCCCCCTACTCTTATTTCAACACTGTGACTGACCCACAATCCCCCCATGCTTGCTTCCTATCCCCTCACCTTCATCCCTTCACCGCCTCTCTCTCGCTGGTCTCCCCGTCTTTTCCATACTGGTGTGGGAAATCTCTCCCCCTACTCTTATTTCAACGCTGTGACTGACCCACAATCCCCCCATGCTTGCTTCCTATCCCCTCACCTTCATCCCTTCACCGCCTCTCTCTCTCTGGTCTCCCCGTCTTTTCCATACTGGTGTGGGAAATCTCTCCCCCTACTCTTATTTCAACACTGTGACTGACCCACAATCCCCCCATGCTTGCTTCCTATCCCCTCACCTTCATCCCTTCACCGCCTCTCTCTCGCTGGTCTCCCCGTCTTTTCCATACTGGTGTGGGAAATCTCTCCCCCTACTCTTATTTCAACACTGTGACTGACCCACAATCCCCCCATGCTTGCTTCCTATCCCCTCACCTTCATCCCTTCACCGCCTCTCTCTCGCTGGTCTCCCCGTCTTTTCCATACTGGTGTGGGAAATCTCTCCCCCTACTCTTATTTCAACACTGTGACTGACCCACAATCCCCCCATGCTTGCTTCCTATCCCCTCACCTTTATCCCTTCACCCCCCCTCTCTCGCTGGTCTCCCCGTCTTTTCCAGACTGGCGATGGAAATCTTTCCCCCTACTCCTATTTCAACGCTGTGACTGAACCACAATCCCCCAATGCATGCATTCTATCTCCTCTCCAACGTCCCTCCACCCCCCCTCTCCTCGCGCTGCTCTCCCCATCCACTCCAGACGGGTGTGGGAAATCTCTCGCCCTACTCCTATTTTAACGCTGTGGCGCACAATCCGCCCATGCTTGCGATTGGTCACTGCTGGTCCAGTGGGAAGCCCAAGGACTCGCTCACAAACATACTCGATACAAGGTACTGTGCCAATCGTGTAAATGAGTCACGAGTGATGTTAATGTCATTTGTTCATTATGCTTAAGTAACCAATCCTGAATGTTACTTATGCAGCCGGATCAATTAGAGTGTTGATCGATCTTGGGGTCAACCTGTAACACCTGTTCTATAATATTCCATTACAAATATATCTGTTTCAATCATTCACGGGTGTACTGTATCAGAGAGCTGGTGGTGGCGCTGATCAGCGATTGGTTCGTGGAAGCGGCCAATCACACGTGCGGGCCTTTTCCACCTGAAGTGGACGAGATGGAACGGGCTGGCCTCACTCCTGTGCCGTCTGTCATGGTGAGAGAGGGGCCCCCCTGTGCCCCCCTGTAGTGCGGTGCTCTGTGCCCCCCTGTAGTGCGGTGCTCTGTGCCCCCCTGTAGTGCGGTGCTCTGTGCCCCCCTCCCTCCCCCCCCCCCCCCGACGTGCACGAGATGGGACGGGCTGGCCTCACGCCTGTGCCATCTGTCATGGTGAGAGAAAGGGGTGTGCGGTTGATGCACTGTGCTGTGCCCTGCTGTAGCCCCCCCACTTCCCCCCCCCACTCACCCCGGTTCCTTCCTCCGACATGCACGAGATGGGACGGGCTGGCCTCACGCCCATGCCAACTGTTGTGGCGAGAAGAGGGATGTTGTGGCGAGAAGAGGGATGTTGTGGTGAGAAGAGGGATGTTGTGGCGAGAAGAGGGATGTTGTGGTGAGAAGAGGGATGTTGTGGTGAGAAGAGGGATGTTGTGGTGAGAAGAGGGATGTTGTGGTGAGAAGAGGGATGTTGTGGCGAGAAGAGGGATGTTGTGGTGAGAAGAGGGATGTTGTGGCGAGAAGAGGGATGTTGTGGCGAGAAGAGGGATGTTGTGGTGAGAAGAGGGATGTTGTGGTGAGAAGAGGGATGTTGTGGCGAGAAGAGGGATGTTGTGGTGAGAAGAGGGATGTTGTGGCGAGAAGAGGGATGTTGTGGCGAGAAGAGGGATGTTGTGGCGAGAAGAGGGATGTTGTGGTGAGAAGAGGGATGTTGTGGTGAGAAGAGGGATGTTGTGGCGAGAAGAGGGATGTTGTGGCGAGAAGAGGGATGTTGTGGTGAGAAGAGGGATGTTGTGGGGAGAGGCGAGCGTTGCTCTGTGCCCCCCTGTAGTAGTGCGGTGCCCCCCCCCCCCCCCCCCCCCCCCTCCTTCCCCCGACGTGCACGACATGGAACGGGCTGGCCTCACGCCCGTGCCATCTGTCATGGTGAGAAGAGGGATGTGGAAGCGGTATGAGGGATGTGGGAGCGGTTCTCTGTGAACTCCCCTCCTGCCCCGCTGTGGTGCCCTGCTGTGGTGCCCTGCTGTTGTGCCTTTCCGCTCTGAAGTGGATGAAATGGACCGGACTGGCCTCACGCCCGTGCCGTCTGTTGTGGTGAGAAGATGGATGCGACACATTGTGCCATCTGTTGTGGTGGAAGGAGCGGAGTGGTTGATGCATTGTGCCCTGCTGTAGTGCTGTTCCCCCACGAGGTGCATGAGATATAGCGGACTGGCCTCACCCCGGTGCCGTCTCTCGTGGAGAGCACAAGCTTGTGTTGCATGCCAGTCGTTTCGCCATGCATGTCCACTGGTTTGCCGTATTTTCTCTTCAGCACTCATTCCCCCTTCCATTGTAAGTCCCACTCTCCAACTCTTACATTCCACATCCCACCTCCCCCCTCCCACCTCCCCCCTCCCACCTCCCCCCTCCTGCCTCCGTCCTCCAACTTCCCACCTGCCCCAGGTGAAGCCACCCCGAGTTGCTGAGTCAGCAGTCAACATGGAGTGCGTTGTCAGACACACATATGACGTCACGGACAGGTGAGACCTGCTGTGCTGACGTCACATACAGATTGGTCCTGTTAGCGATGACGCCACAGGCAGGTTGGACCCGTTTGTGCTGACGTCACAGGCAGGTTGGACCCGTGTGTGCTGACGTCACAGGCAGGTTGGACCCGTGTGTGCTGACGTGAAAGTACATGTGGGTGTAGTACTAGTAGAGATGTCGTGGTGAAGGGAAGGGATTCACGTCAGAGGCTGAAGAGGGCACAGAAGAGGGCAGAGAAGAGGGCAGAGAAGAGGGCAGAATGAGTGGTGCCGTTTTCGTTCACCAGAAGAGGTCATGCAGTACACTCTCGTGGAGGATGTCCATTTCATTTTAGAAAATAAAATAAAATAAAGTTTTGCCAGTTTTTTGCTGTTTGGCTTTTGCCTCTATTCACTCTGCATTCAACCGCCCAGGGATGGAAGTGTGACAACACCGATTGTGCTTGTGGAGGTGGTGATGTTCCATTTCTCTGAGCATGTCGTTCGAATGACTTTTACCTTCATATTCATGCGTATTCAACCTCTCAGGGATGGAAGTGTGACAACACCGATTGTGCTTGTGGAGGTGGTGATGTTCCATTTCTCTGAGCATGTCGTCCGAATGACTTTTACCTTCATATTCATGCGTATTCAACCTCTCAGGGATGGAAGTGTGACAACAACGATTGTGCTTGTGGAGGTCGTTATGTTCCATTTCTCTGAGCATGTGGTTACACGCACCCCCAACACTGGGAAACTGATAGTTGACCCAGGTGAGTTTGTTTGTACCTGCAAATGTGTTATCGTGAGTGTCAAAAAGACCGCCTAGATTGCGATCGTAACTAGTTTTTTGTCACACCTGGTGCATTTATTTGCTAGTGTTTTGTCATCTGTGCCTACCTTCTTTAATCTGCTTTTCGTTCTTTGATTGCCTGTCCCTTCATTTGTCTTGCAGCAAAACTTCGTCCTATGTGCAGACTTGGGGGAAACACGTATGGCTTTGTGTCCCACCTGTTTGATATTGCGCGGCCAGATAAAGATGGCAGGTACCCGGGTCACAAAGGATTTGTGCAAAGTGAGAGGGACAAGATTGTTTCACAGTAAAGTGGCTATGTTACCATGCCGGTGTGGTCGTTGCACTTGAAGCCAAGTACTACTTGATTGCACATGCAATGTAAAGCTCTTTACTCAATCGCAATTTCTGACCACAAACAAATAAGCAGGAAGCACACAAATTTTGCAACCTCCCAACTGTGAACATTTTCTCAGTCACATGACATCATTGATGATGCTTTCTTTTTAGATAATTGATTACTTCATATGCATATCATAAGGTGGAAAGATAGTGTAAATATTCACGAATATGCGTCCTTCTAACCCGACACCCATGTCAGCGTGGTCCAGCGAGCCGCGGAAAAGCACCGAATGCGCTGACATTGCTCACGGCCGAATCGACCGAACCCTGTTCCGAGTTTGATGAAATGAGGCGAAAAGAACGTGTCCAGAAGGCATGTTTCCAGTGGCTAGTCGCTCCCCCTTCGAAGTTTGGGCCAGGGAGTGCTGAACCATGCTGCCCGCCGACAAATCTGTATCTATGATTGCACCAGCTACACCTGACAACGCGGGTGATGGTTCGGCACAGGTGACGGTGTTATCCCTGTAAGCAAATACAGTTCGATGGATACCTACCTCCCTCCATGAGGTGACAGTTCCACATGTTTCTGGGCATTTGCAATCGGTATTTTACAGAATTTGGGGGAAATGCTGGAGATCGACGAATTTTATCGGCCAACTTCATACATACTCAGATTAGTCCCGAGCGGGTTCTCAGGTGTAATCAACCTGGAATTTCTCGACGTTGATTGGTCGTCGCTTTTTAGTCACACTGTTTACGCTGATCGAAATGTTTGGGAGGTGACAAAAAGAGAACTATCTAGTTTACCCTCCCGACTTGGATTTGTTAAATTAAAGTACGTAAATTTACGACAGGGCAGAGAATTAAACCCCTATAGAATCTGGACGCATTTGCGGTAGGGATCAACCCTAAACACGGTAAAGGGCATTGTTTTTAGGGTTGATGCCTCCCGAGTCGCATCCCTTCTCGATTGGGTAAAATTTTTTGGGTCAAGAGGGTGCAATATATTTTTCCTGAAGTGGGCGGCTTCCCGTAGTTGAGGTTGATCTGTCCCGAAATTCATCTAGGTTCGCTACAAGTTTTTTTTTCAGGTGTTGCATTTTCTGTCGTGACTGTATTCAGAAAACAACAAGAAACACCTACTACTATATCGCGAAACTGTGTTTCTGTTGGTGATTACACCTGAGAATCCGCTCGGGAATACTTTGAGTATCTATGATATTGGCCGGAATTTTATCGAGGGAAAATGCGGAATCTAGGTGTCGGTGAACAGCCCTCACTGGTTTGGGAAACTCCCCTCGACTGTTTTGTGCAACTGTTTGCTGACCTGATCGGAATGCGACAAGAGGGTCAGCTTGGAGGAAGATTTGAGCCGACCACTCACAAATGTGACTCCTTTCCGTTCCACCACCACTCGCTGCGCACGCCGTTTTTCTCCCTCCGTTGGTTCCTCCCCTTGACTCGCCTCACTCCGCTGTGACGTGTCATGGGATCACCCACTCTTCTCCTCTCCTCCTCCTCCCGTGTCCGTTCCCCGCTCTGCCCGTACTCTCCCCTCCACCCTACGCAGAGCGCAGATTCTGTCCAGCCATGCGTTGTTGACCACCTAAGAATGTTCCCAACCGAACTTAGCCGAATCAAGATGCCCATTTCCGCGCCTCAGCACGTCATGGGGACGTTTCCCTGTTTGCCGCACAGACTTGCTCGCTCGCACCGACCGACCTGAACAGATTGTTGTACAATAACACCCAGAACGCGTTTTCTCATGCCAGTTCCACTGAGCAGGGTCACTTCCTTTCATTACCCTTGGATTCCCGCTTTCCGCTCGCCGCTGCACTAGGATTGTCGGCTTGTCTCAAATCTCACCTCTTGTCCCTCAGACTACCAGCAAGGCAGGCGCATCCACCATACCAATAGCATCCATGTTGTTTCATTCAGATCAGAGTGAACTGTACTCAGTTGGAAGAGCGAATCGATCGAGACCCCCATTGGCGCAAAAGCGATGTTCGGGCAGGAAATTCGGTCTGGTCGACTAGAAATATGTATGGAACCTATTTTTGGTTTCTCACATTCAGCCGTTGCGCTATCAGGGCGTACTCTGTTCTCCTAACATTCCACACCACACCACCGTCCTTAGCCGCTCAACCACTCACGATCTACAGTTTGTGATTGCAATGCAAGCACGAGCATTAGGGTTGTCGGCCTTTCCATTACTTGGTCTGAACATCTCACAAGTAACTGCTGTATCATGATGTTCGCAGCGCGGAAAGGAGCGTGGTTCGCATGCTAGGAGGTGCCACCCTAAAACACGGCTTTATTTAGGAACTACGGAAGTTCTTCTGCTTTCCCAAGTCTCTTGGCAACCAACGCATCGGGTATTCAAGTACGTCAACAGCAGACTGCGAATCTCATCAGCATCTCCACGCCATAGCTGAATCAGACACTACTATCGACATCCCTCCAACCGCGCGTTTCTAGAACAACGGACATTCCAATCACACATAAATAGTCAGGTACCCTGATCAGCATAGATAGAAACATACTTGCTAGTTATGGCCAGACGGCAAGGCCAACCTCCCGCGTCGGATCTCGCGGCCAGGCCTCTTCACGCCGATGACCGTTACCGCGTCAGAGCAGCTTCCATGGCGGCCCTCGCCGCGTCGCCTTCCGAGCCCGCGTCGTCTCAACCCCCTTCCTCCGTCTCGTCGCTCCATAAAGCGTCGTTTTTCGAAGCCGCGTCGTCGGAACCTTCTCTGCGTGCAACGTCTCTCAGAATTCCGTTCCGCGAACATGCGAAACATGACACATCACTCATTGCCTCCTCGTCCCGAGAACTGCCATGTTCCAGCGAAACAGCGTCTTCAGAAGCTTCGAGTTCCTTGGAACCAGCGGGGTCGGGTAGCGGTCGATTGCGCGTCGACTCTAAGTCTCGAGACCGTCGAGTCGCGTGCCACGTAGGGGACTCGGAGCTGACAGATGGAGTGGGAATGGAAGTAAGCGCGAGTGCGCGCGAGCAGCGGAGGGGGAGGGAGGATACGGAACGGAACGACGGAGTAAATATGGTCGTCGAGCTGGCTTGTAGTCGCCGTAGGGATTCGCAAGTCGTCGCAGATGCGTTGTTTCGGGATTCTGTCGCAGGGTCGTCTCGCAGCAGCCATGTGAAAATCGCAGAGTCGCACGAGAGCGCGACAGTGCTATCAACATCGTCATGCCGACGTGGCGTTCATAGCTCGTTTCATCATCCGTCCAGACTTGAAACTGCCTCCCAACTCGACGTTTCGACTTCATCTTCCCAAGTCCCCGTTCGCCGAACGCAACGACACGTAGCGCCGCCGTACGGAGGGATGTACGGATCCTGCGGTTCCGTACTCGCTATAATCTGCCTCATTAACCTCGTGTCGTGCTCGTCTGCGGTGTCCGTCCTGGCCGCGGCGAAAGCCGCCACGAAAGCCGCCGCCAAAGCCGCTCCACCGCCGGCGAACCAGCCGAGTGTTCTGCCGGCCTCCTGCTTCTTTGCACTGCAGGTAACTTTCGCAAACGGTTTCGCACGGTTCGTTACCCCCGTAATTGCTTTTCGCGCAGCGGACTGGTCGGGTCCACAGTTATTGCGTGTACGACTCAAGAGCCACGGTTTCGCGGGGAAGCGGCAAGGGGAAACTTCTGGGGAAACCCTGGGGATAAACAGTTAGGAAAACTGCAGGGGGAAGCTAGGGGGTGAAACTTTCACGGGGAACGACTAGCCTACGGCGCACGTAGCGTGGAGCAAGTGAGCCCGTTTTGCGGCAGAGTAGGAGGGGGGGGGGAATCTGGAGGAATGGCCTCTGGTGAAGTGAGGTGGGGATGTGGGGTAGGTTGCCAGTGGTCAGGCGAAAGGGGAAAACGGGGAGGGGGAACGGTGAAGGGGGAAGGGAGAGGGGGGAAGGGGGGCGTGGGGTGTAGGGGTGGTGCGCGAGCGCGTAGTGTGACGGGCTGCGCGGGCAGTCGAGCTGGAATTCCCCCCAGTCAGCATCCCGCGCGAGGCGAAAGTCCACGCGCGCGGGGGGATTGCCCCATGCGTGGTTTCCCCAAGGGGGGAAGGTCGAGGTGCCGCGCGCTTTTAGGGTTGGCCTTCGCAGCCTCATCTCCCCTCGCCCCCCTCTCTCCCCCCGCCCCCCTCGCTCCCCCCGCCCCCTCTCTCCCCCCGCCCCCCTCGCTCCCCCCGCCCCCTCTTTCCCCCCGCCCCCCTCTCTCCCCCCGCCTCTCTCCCCTCTCTCCCCCCGCCCCCCTCGCTCCCCTCCCTCCCCTCTCTCCCCTCGCTGCCCTCACTTCCCTTGTTCCCTTCCCTGTCTTCTCCTGCCATTCTCTCTGTGTGCCCGCACGGTCCCTCCGCTCCTCCTCGCTGTTTCCACTCCGTCCTCTCCCTTTCCCCCTACCTCGTCCTCTCCTTAGTTTCCCCTATCTCCACTGCCCTCTCTCCATTGCGCTCTCTCCTCCCCTCCACTCACTCCTCCCCTCCATTCTCCCTCCCCTCCAGGCGTGCGATTTCGCATTCAACAACTCGCTGGGCTTCGTGCCGCTCTATGCGCTCTCTGTCATGCAGCCAGACGTGCCCTTCACCCAGGGGATCCTGCACAGGTCCGTGGCCAGCCTGTAGACGTGCAGTTCTGGATTCGGAGCTCTGTCATGCAGATCGACGTGCCCTTAACCCAGCACCTTTGGTGACAACGCCGCTTGTTCCCACATGTCCGCTGCTTCCTCTTTGTCCGTACACGCGTGCGCGCGTGCGTACATGCGTGCGGGTGCGCGCTTGTCGAGACCATTGTGCACATGTGCTGGAAACCAACCTTGGTTTTCCCGTTCCCTCCTCTTCGTTGTCCCTTGGGTCGCCCTGGGTCCTGGCAGCAAGCGATCGGCGCCGGCGATCTCAGGAAAGCTCAAGCCGAAGTGTAAAGCTGTGAGTGTCTGGAAGGTGAGCTGCAATCTACACCCTTTTTGCTACACCATTAACAATTTGTGTAGTTTTCTACCACAGCTCAAGCACGGAGCATATATCCTTTCATGGTCCTTCTGCGTTTCTCTCTCAGTTTATATGTCTCTGCCTGCGCTGCTGTAGTGTATCCTTGATTCTGCAGTGTTCCTTCCACCATCTCTACCAGAATCCCAACCCCAGTTTTCTTATGTAACATATAAACCTTTCGACACGTTTCTCATGTTCTTTATGTATTTATTCCCTTCTCCCCTCATTTGCTTGGCTGCCAGTTCAAAGCGCTCAAGTGTCCTCCAATCTCAGTGATACCACCTTCCAGCTCATCGTCTCCAAGCATTCGCTTTGCAGCTAAAGGACAAGTGTCTGGAAATGTGAGTTATACCTCTCAATGTTGCTCGTTACGTTTTTTGTTTGTTGGTTTGTTTTAATGTGTATATATACATATTTTAAGAAATTATATTTGGTCATGTCAAAGGATGCGTTGCTGATTAGCTTGTTTGTTCCTGTCTTCTGTAAACACAGGGGTACAGCGGAGCGTGCTTCACCATGAGCTTCTCGCAATTGTTGGTGAAGCTAGGGAGCGGCCCCAAGGGTATACTTAAGTTGGCATCAGGGGATGGCAATACACAGTTTCCTGAGGTAAACCAAAGGGGATGAAGAATGAGTGCATGCCGTATATAGATTTTGAGTTCTGCTGCAGTCATTTTGTTTCTGCCATTGCATCGCAGCTTATCAGTGGCGTTTTTGTTTGTTTCTGCTCATGTGTATGCAGAACCGGAGATGTATTGTCTTCAGAACACTCTAGGAAATGGCTGGTTGAACAGGTTATACTTACATGAAGATAGCATGTTATTACATACAGTAGGTGCTTGATTGTCTAAAGCAATAACTGATTCACATTTGAACCTGTACAGATTTTGTTTCCTTCAAGTAGTTCGTATATCGCGGTTTTATGTTACGTTTACGGGGTGTTTGCGAGCTTCAGTGTTTTCGAGAACCAATTACAAATTTCTAGAGCTCTGACAACAGTTTCCCGCCATCACAGAACTGCTCAGGGATCATCTCGTTTGTCACATCCAAAACCTCGAGCACATTCCCAACGGACTCCCCGCGGAAGTATTCCCCCTTGCCCCCTCCACCCAATCGGATTTTCCCTGTTCCCCGAGAATTCTCTGCGGGCTTGCCCCCACCTGTGCCGCACTCCCCCGGACTCCCCCCGCAAACCCCAGCCGCAAAATTCCGCATCAGAACTCGTCTTCCCCCGCAGCCTCCGCAAAACTCGTCTTCTCTCCCTCCTTGCAACCCACTTTCTGCTGACTCACTTCCCTCCTGATCTACTACCAGTCCTGCTCACAGTCTATCGTGTGCTGCTATTATATTACCTTCTCGTTCGCTTCCGCGTCATCATCTTGCTCATGCTTCTTGTTTTCTTTCAGTTGGGTCTGGTCTTGAATTCAGGCGATTTTCTTGTTAAGCCTGTGTTTTTTTCTTTCGCTAGGAAAGCTCGCAACGCGGGGTTCTTGTTGATAATTCGTTGCATAACTTTCCTTCTGTTCCCGTTCCTCCCACCCCCTTCTTCGTGCGTGGGTCAACAAAGAGACGCCAGATCCGTTTCGGATTTTATCGTTAACGTCCCGTTAACGTCACCGACCAGGTGATGGATCAGAGAACCTTCCATCTACTACCGCGCGTCGTCAATCCCAACCAGGCAACGAACGATTCGTCCGGACACACAAACGTCAATTCTAACCGGTCAGCTGGTGAACCGTCACAAACACCGCCTATTGCAGTCGGCTATCCGGCTGTCTACCGTCGACCTGCTACGGCAAGCTTGAACCCCCAAGTTCAGGAAACACAGGGAGCGCCGATGCAGGGATCACAACCCCAGGCAGGACAGGTGCAAGGATTAAGTACTGCTAGTACTATACCGCCTGGAGCTGCTGCGTCTCAGACGTTAACTAAACAATCTATACCTCTGAAGTCTATACTGCCTAAGCCGTTACTTCCAAGGCCTTTACCTTCCCAGTCGTCACTTCAACAGTCGTTGCCTTCCCAGTCATTACCTCCCCAGTCGCTTCCTCCCCAGTCGTTTGCTCCTCAATATGGTCCTCCTCAGTCCTTTCCTCCTCAGTATGTTCCTCCTCAATACCTCCCGCCTCACTCGTTTCATCCTGAATATTACCCTCAACAGTCTTATCCTCATCCTGTATACTTCTTGCCAGCACCAACTACCGTATCAGCTACAGTGCTTTTTAACCGATCTGCATCCCATGCGTTTCAATCTGCCACTGGATCACACCCAAACCAAACTCCGAGCCACAGTTATGGCGTGCATGCCGAACCTCGACTTGTTTCCGTACCTGGTGAACAGGCTCGGACATCTGCTCCCACTCCTCTACCTTCCTTCTCTCCCGCTCCTAATGTACCTACTCCCCCTACTCCTCAAGTCACCCCTTATCCTTACCCTTCGCCTTCGCCTCAGTCAGCTTGGCAAAATTCAGATTCCTCATCTTGTTACCAGGTGCATCGCCAAACCCCCGCCCGTGTAACATCACATTCTTTCGCTCCCGCTTCTCATATGCCCGGTGCTGCAACAGGTTTGCATGCCTCAATTCTCGGTCCTTACGCTCCTCCTCCTCCTCACGCCCATGTTGCTCCTGCTTCTCCTCCTGTTGCTCCTACTGTTGCTCCTGCGGCTTCTGTTGCTCCTGCTGCTCCTTCCGCTGCTCCTGTTGCTGCTGCTGCTCCTGTTGCTCCTTTTGCTCCTGTTGCTCCTGTTGCTGCTCCTGCTCCTGCTGCCGTTGCTCCTGATGGCGGTGGTGGCTCCGGGCATGCTGTGTCGCTTTGTCACGAAGCCTGGCGGGAGCATGCGCAAGGTGGGCCCGAGCACGGGCAGCAGCTGAACGGGCAGTTTGCGCAGCAAACGTGGGAGCACGGGCAGCAGCAGAACGGGCAATTTGCGCAGCAAACGTGGGAGCACGGGCAGCAGCAGAACGGGCAATTTGCGCAGCAAACGTGGGAGCACGGGCAGCAGCACAACGGGCAATTTGCACAGCAAACTTGGGAGCACGGGCAGCAGCAGAACGGGCAGTTTCCGCAGCAAACATGGGAGCACGGGCAGCAGCAGAACGGGCAGTTTGTGCAGCAAATGTGGGAACACGGGCAGCAGCAGAACGGGCAGTTTGTGCAGCAAACGTGGGAACACGGGCAGCAGCAGAACAAGCAGTTTGCGCAGCAAATGGACGAGCTCGGGCAGCAGCAGAACGGGCAGTTTGTGCAGCAAACGTGCGAGCATGTGCCTGAGAGGAGGGAACCGCGACCCAGGACGGTTCAGGCGTGGGACTGGGATGGTGTGGAGGCGCGAGGGGTGGAGGCTGGGGCGAGAGAGAGGGAGATCGAGGCGTGGAAGGAGGGTCTTTGGCGTGGTGTGGATGGAGATGAGCCAGACGTGGGAGGAGGAGGGGAAGAGCTTAGGGGGGTTGGAGGTGTGGGGCGGGGCGGTGACGAGGGTGGAAGAGGAGGGGGAGAGGAGCGGGAAGTAGGAAGAGAGGAGGTAGAAGGAGGGGAAGAAGGAGAGGTTGGGGGACGTGGAAGAGAGGAAAGTGAGTGTGGAGGAAGTGGAGGAGGAGGGGGAGGAGGAGAGGAAGAGCAGGGAGGAGGAGGATGTGCTCGTACTTCTGCGATTGGAAGAAAGGGGTTCGCTGCAGCTTTAGCATCAGGCGGAGTGGCAGCGTCAGCAACAGCTGGAGTGTCGTCAGGAGCAGGAGAAGCTGCAAGAACAGCCAGAGCAGCAGTTGGAGGCAAGAAGAAGAAGAAAAAGAAGAAAACCAGTTGTGATGGGGGAGGTGAAGGTGATGCGGCTATGCGAGTGCAGCCGGCTGTGAAGGCTGAGCCAGAAGAAGGGGAGCTAGTCCCTTTCCCGTCTCGTCTTCCTTCGCATGATGACCTTTGCCCTGTCAGCGTTTCGCCTGGTAACAGTCCGCGTGATAACATTCCGCATGCAGGGTCAGGCGGAAATCCTCCTGACTGGGATGCTGCAGGAAACGGGGTGGGAGGAAGGAGAGTTGTGAGCTATGGGAACTTCCAGACGGAAACAAGAGGGGTGGAGTTGCCAGGCATGGTGGTCAATGGTTGGCTTGGTCACCCTTCGCCTGTTGCAGCGAACGCCGTCCAGAGAAGGAGAGTAGTGAGCTATGGGGACATTGGGGCGGAAACAATGGGGGAGGAGGTGCCTGGATTGGCTGATAACGCTTGGCCTGGTAAGCCTTCGCCTGGTGCTGAGAACGGCTTTCAGACAAGGAGAGTTGTGAGCTATGCTGATGTTGGCGTGGAAGAAAGGGAGGAGGCTCCTGGTTTAACTGCTATTGGTGACCGTTTCCCTTCTGCTGCTGCTGCTGCTGCTGCTGCCGCTCCTGCTGCCGCTCCTGCTGCTGCCGCTCCTGCTGCCTCTCCTGCTGCTGCCGCTCCTCCTGCTGCTGCTCCTGCTGCTGCTGTTCATGCCAACAGTGTGACTCCCAGACAATCACGAATTGGAATTCCATTGTCAACCACACCTTCTCAACCTGCGATTTCATCAACTGCCAGTGCTGACCATGCTCCTACACATCTCCCCTCAGCCACTCTCTCTGCAGCACATCTCCCCACAGCCACTCTCTCTGCCGCACATCGCCCCACACCCACTCTTTCTGCCCCACGTCGCCCCCTAACCAGTCTCTCTGCCCTGCTTCGGAGATTCTTAGGAGACGAAGTGGCTGCAAAGCCAATTCAGGAGTCGACAGTGGGAGAGAGAGGGGCTGTGGAGTCGACTCGCGAGTCAGGGGCAGGTGAAGCAGCAGTCGGTTTCAGTTCACGGGCAGGTGAAGCAACAGGTGGTTCCATATCAGCGGTTGGTCCGAATTCAGGGGCAGGTGAAGCAGCAGTTGCTCCGAATTTAGGGGCAGGTGAAGCAGCAGAGGGATCGGGTCACGTGCCTGTGGTCCGTGAAGAGGTGGTGGAATTGGAGGAAGGGGAGATTGGAGGAGAGGAGGAGGAGGATGGGGAGGAGCAGGGGGAGGAGATATTGAGGCGGGTGGAACAAACAGAGGCGAGGGGAAGAGGTGGGAAGAGTGAGAGGCGAGTGGTGGAAGAGGCAGAGGCGGGAGGAAGCGGGGAAGGGGGCGAGGAAGATAGGAGGAGAGGGGAGACTGCAGGGGTGCAGGGAGTGGTAGGCGCGAGCAGAGAGGCGAGGAGCGGGGTGGGTGGGGTTGGGAATAGTAGGAAAGGTGGGCATGGTGAAAGAATGCCGTGTCGGGAGACTGAGAAGGTAAGAAGCAGTGGAGTGCAAGAGAAGAATGGGGAGGGGAATGATGGGTTGGGAAAGGGTGCTGGCAGGGCAGTTGGTGCTGACAAAGATGAGAAGCAGCAGCAGCATGAGAAAGAGAAGCGAGAAGAGGGGAGAGGAAGCGTCCGAGTGGGGGTAGCTGGTGCTGGGGAGGAGAGGCCGAGGAAGACTGTTGATGAGACGAATATTGTGGTTGAGAAGGGAGAAGAGAGGCAGAGGCGGTATGGTAAAGGCTCGAATCGGTTGGTCAGTAGTGGCAGAGGGGGCTTTGGAAGAGGAGGGGAAGGAAGAGAAGGGAGAGAAGGAGGTGAAGGAAGAGAGGAGAGTGGAGGAGGAGAAGGAAGAGAAGGGAGAGGAGAGGGAAGAAAGGCGAGAGAAGGAGAAGGGAGAGAGGGGAGCAGAGGAGAAGGAAGAGCGGGGAGAAAAGGAGAAGAAGAAGGAAGAGAGGTGAGAGAAAGAGGAAGTCGGAGGGACGCCAGGAGTAGTAGAAGCAGAAGCAACAGCAGAGGTAGGAGCAGGGGCAGGAGAGATAAAAGCAGAAGAAGCAGAAGTAGAAGCAGAAGCAGGAGCAGGAGCGGAGGTAGCAGCAGCACCAGCAGCAGCAGGAGCAGGAGCAGGAGAGGCAGCAGCAACAGCAGCAGCAGCAGCAGAAAGAGCAGCAGCAGCGGCAGCCAATCAAGCGACAGCCACAGAAGAAGCAGGAGCAGGGTTGAGAAAGGCGCGAGGGTTAGGAGAAGGGAGAAACGTGATGTAGAGAGCAGTAGAAGCAGCAGTCGCAGCAGCAGCAGCAGCAGGAGAGTATATAGTCATAGCAATAGCAGTGGAAGTAGCAGGAGAAGCAGCAGAAGCACTGACAGGAGCAGGAGCAAGAGCAGAGGTGGGAGCAGAAGTAGCAGTGATGAAAGTAGAAGTGTGAACTCGAGCTCAGAGCATGCTAGAAGAAGGAGCAGTGATGGTAACAGGAGCAGTGACAGGAGCGGAAGCAGCGTTAGAGAAAGCAGCGATAGGAGAAG